GGACGCTGAGTTAGAGACAGCCTCAGCCTGGAGTCTCTGGAATGACTTCTCCCCACACCTGAGACTCCGAGGTATAAGTAGAAATCCCTTATCTGCTCCCTCTGTCCAATTGTTCCCAAGTGTCACCAAGTCGATGGGGGTCCCATGGCACTCTGTGCCAGCCCGAGCTGCCTCCTGCAGAGATGCTGGGATTGGCTTCTGCCTGGGCGCAGTTCCAGAGCTCACCAAACCTGGTGCTCACAAGCGTAAGGTGGTAAATCTCTCGGAATTGGGGCACTGGGGAGATTCCTGTAAGCAGCTCTGCAGAATCCGGCTCAGGTCAGCTGGGGACAAGCTGGGGTCACATTGTTTTACTACAGGAGTTTTGGGGACAATGACTTTGCACACTCACATGGATCTCTTCAGTCTACCCTGCAGTATCTCTTCCAGTGGGCTTTGCCGTGTGTTTATGCCTTTCCTCGTATCATGGAGAGCAGCAAATTAGATACCATGGGCACAATATAAACAAACTTTTAAAAATTAAACACTTCTTGAGTGTCAAAGATCATAAGTTCTTTGACATAAGATCATTTGATCATAAGATCAAATAAGATCATAAGATCATTTGTTCTGAGCTGTCAAAGATCATAAGTTAAAAAAAAGAGGTGCCCTAATAAATTATATTTGTAATTGGTGGCTCTGCAAACTACCTGCTCTGTAAAGTCTCAGGAAATGTCTTCATATCCCACTTCAAAGACAAGCAGAAACCAATCAAAATATAGTTTGGATTTTTTTTCTTTATTAGATAAGTTTTTGTTTGTCTTTATAACATTGTTTGGAAACATTTATTTATACTCTTAGTGTTTTACTGTAGAAAATGCCAAACTGGATCTCATACAGCTCACCCTGCCCTCAGCTGTGAGCGAGCACTTCACCTCCTCATGCCTTACTTTCTCCAAATGCAGAATTGGTCTCTAAGCCTTCCCAGATAGTATTCCTGTATCTGAAAGGCGCTAATGGAGAGCTACACTGTCTAGAGTCAGAACAGTGTCAGAAAGTCTGTGGGCAAATTAATGTAATGATAACAATTGTGTTAAAGGAGCCATGGTCCTGGTTGCACTGATGTAGACAGTGTTTTGATTTCAACCCCGTAATTCCATGTAAAATCATGTTTCTTTGACATGTTCTGCTTGTGTGGATAAATAGCAAATTTTATGGTTGGCATCCATCGTACCTTTTATATCAAATCTGCTCTGTAAACAAAGCAAAGTAACTGCCTCATGCACTAATTCGGTCTTGTTTACTGCAGGTCATGTTTTTAGGACTCTTCATACTTTGTTCTCCCCTGTCATTGGTTACAAAAAGTTGAGGAAAAATCTCTTTATTTCCACATCAAGAAATGTTTAAAGCATTGTAGTGGGTTGACCCTGGCCAGATGCCAGGTACCCACTAAAGCTGCTGTCTCACTCCCCTCTGCAACTGGACAGAGGAGGGAAAAAACCAATGAAGGATTCATGAGTTGAGATAAGAGCTGGGAGAGGTCACTTACTGATAACCTTCATGGGCAAAACAGACTCCAAGTGGGGATATTACTTAAATTTATTACTAACAGGATCAAAGCAAAAGAGTGAGAAATAAAATAATCTTAAAAACATCTTCCCCCCAGCTCTCCTTCCTTCTAAAACTCTACCTCCTCCCCCCCAGTGGTGCCAGGGGGATGGGGAATGGGGGTTATGGTCAGTTGTTGTTTCTACTGCTGCTCAGAGAGAGGAGTTGGAGTCCTTCCCCTGCTCCCGTGGGGTCCCTCCCACAGGAGACAGTCCTTGATGGACCTCTCCGGCGTGAGCCCATCCCTCGGGCAGCAGCTCTTCCCAAACTGTTGTCCTGTGGGTCACTCCTCCATGGAGTGCAGTCCTTCCCAAATGAGCTGTACTGACGTGGGTCCCCCACAGAGGCCACAAGTCCTACCCAGGAAAAACCTGCTCCAGCGTGGGCTTCCCTCTCCACAGGCTGCAGGTCTCTGGCAGGACCCCGCTCCATCCTGGGCCTCCCACAGCATTACAGCCTCCTTCCTGCATCCACCTGCTCCAGCCTGGGCTCCTCCATGGGCTGCAGGGGGGTCTCTGCACCCCAATGCTCCCCCACGGGCTGCAGGGGCACAGCTGCCCCACCCTGGACTGCACCACGGGCTGCAGGGCCACAGCTCCCGCGCCTGGAGCACCTCCTGCCCCTCCTTCTGCACTGACCTTGGTGTCTACATTGTTATTCCCATGTTCTCACTCTGCTCTTCCCTGGCTGGAATTCCTTCTGCGCAACAACCTTCTGTTTTTAAATATGTTACCTTGGAGGCATTACTATCACTCTTGATTGGCTTGGCCTTGGCCAGCAGCAGGAAGCCCATCCTGGAGCTGGCTGGCATTGGCTCCACCAGACAGGGGAAGCTTCCAGTAGCTTCTGACAGAAGCCACCCCTGTAGCCCCTTCCCCCCCCCCCCGCTACCAAAGCCCAGCCACAGAGACCCACTACAAGCATTAAATCAAAATTTAATATGACCTCCTCCTGCACCACACAGTACTGACCTGCTGCTTGCCTTAGCACTTGCTAGGCTGGGAATCCTCTGAGGTTTGAATCTTACTTGTTAGGAAGAGCCCATCTAACCTACTACTCATCTCTTTATTTTTTCTTTCCAAATGGATCAACAACTTGGACTTCACAGCTACTTGCTAATGAGAAACTAATGATGGAGCGAGGTGTCTCTTTGATCTAATTTTGAAGACTTGTTTCCATGACCACAATTTAGCGTCAAGTCTCATGGAACAGTATTTTTTTTGAAGCTTGTATTTCCCCAAAGCACTAAGCCTATACTTAGGGTTGTCTTACTACTTGCCTTTTTGATTTAAGTTTCCCTCTGCCTTGTTCCAAGCTGGCTTTTGTGTTTTTGAACTGACTGCACTCCCACACAAACATCTCCTAAATAATAGGTAGCCATTTAATTGACTATATTTGGGAAGCACATATTTTATGTGTGGAAACTCCCTCAACTTTGCTTTGGTGATCTGTAAATTAGCGCCTCCTCTACTTTTTAAATAAAGGGCAAGAATTATAATTTTACAGCAATTTAAAGCAGGGACAAAGTCCACGTTTTAAAAATAGAATAATAACTTGGCTGCTTATACTTTGCTCTCAGCCATGACAGTCAGAAAACCACATGCTCGAATATAACCCAAAGGATGCTCCAATACATTGACCCAGCGCAAGACTCTGTCCAGGTGCCAGCTGGAGAGGGAGGAATCTGCCCTCAAAGGAATTCTGTGCCAGAGTTACAATTAAACACACAAGAGGGAAGAAATTTTGTCATCTCATGTTTAGCAGCCAAACTCATCTATTCAAAGGGTGTCTCTTAAAATTACTAATTTTCCCTCAGCACCATACCCAGGCATTACGTTTTGCATTTCCCCTCACAGAATCACAGGATGGGTCAAGATGGAAGGGACCACAGTGGGTCATCTGTTCTGACCTCTCAGCTCAAGCAGGGTCATCCCAGAGCACATTGTGTACAGGATTGTGTCCTGAAGTTCTTGAATACCTCCAGTGATGGAGACTCCACACCCTCTCTGGGCAACCTGTCCCAGTGCATGGTCACTGCACAGTAAAGGAGTTCTTCCTCATGTTCAGGTGGAACTTCCTGTGCATCAGTTCCTGCCCGTTGCCTCTTGTCCTAGTGGTTGGCACCACTGAGAAGAGCCTGGATCCATCCCCTCGGCACCCCCAATTTCTGAGACTAAAATAAGACACACGAAGGGGGAAGAAATTTTGTCCTCTCACTTCCAGCAGCCAAACTCACCTATTCAGAGAGTGTTTCTTAAAATTGTTAGTCATTTCTTCTCCTTTTCCCTCAGCACCACACCCAGGCATTGCTTTCTGTGTTTTCTCTCCGGGGAACCCGGCGGGGTTTCACCCTGGGGGGTGAGGGCAGTGGTGCTGCTGTCAGGGGGGAGCAGTGCTAGGGGGGGAGCTGCTCCCTTGGCCAGTGGAGCCACTGCCAATTCGGGGGTAAGGATTCTTCTCCCAGTTCAATTTCTGTGCTATTTCGATGGCTCAAGCCAATATTGCAGATCACGTTTATTTGCGTGATAGGGTCGTTTGCCATAAACTAAACACCTGAAAATAAAGGGAAGGTTTTGTGGTTTCTTGGTGCTTGGTTCCAGTCCCCCCCACAGATGGCACTGGGGTGGGCCCTTTGTGGGGCAGCTTCTCATCGCTGCTACGCAGAACTGAAATGTTATTACAGCTCCAGCATTCATGTGGAGAATGCTCAGAACCCAGAAGTTCAGCCCCTTGCTCCCCTCGTATTAAGCACGACTGCTTTGAGATGCACCTGTATGTGCAGTGGTCAGAAGGAATCTCAACATAAAAAAGACATTAAGCGTCCAAAGGAGGACCATGAGGGTGGGGAAGGGTCTGCAGGGGAAGTTTAATGAGGAGAGGCTGAGGGCACTTGGTCTGTTCTGCCTGGACGAGACTGAGGGGAGACCTCACTGCGGTTACAACTTCCTCGGGAGGGGAAGAGGAGGGGCAGGCACTGATCTCTGCTCTGTGGGGACCAGGGACAGGACCCCAGGGAATGGCCTGAACTTGTGCCAGGGGAGGTTTAGGTTGGATGTAAGGAAAAGGTTCTTCCCCCAGAGAGTGGCTGGGCACTGAATAGGCTCCTCGGGAAAGTGGTCACAGCACCTTGAGAGAGCTCAAGGACCGTTTGGACAATGCCCTCAGGCACATGATGTGACTCTTGGGGATTGTCCTGGGCAGGGCTAAGGGTTGGACTCGATGATCCTTGTGGCTCCCTTCCTGATGTCAGGATTCTCTGGAGCAGGGAGCAGAGCGATCCCTTTGGGATGTTCGGATGCCCCCGGGCACGCCCGCTCCGCCGGCAGGGGGCGCTGCGCGCTCACCGGGGGAAGCCCCGGCGGGGCCCTTCCAGAAGTTTCCGGAAGCGGCGGGGCGGAAGTGACGGCGCGCGCTGGCGGCGCTTCCTGTCTGCGGCCGGTGCCGTTGGGTCCCGGCGGGAGCGGCGCGAGCGGGGCCGCGCGGAGAGGGCGCCGCGGGTGAGCGGGGACCGGGACCGGGGCACGGGATACGGAACACGGACACGGCCCCGGGGTAGGGGCGGGGGCAGCGCCCGCCGGGCCGCGCCGCTCGGCAGCCGCGCCGCTGTTGCCGCGGCCCCGCGCAGGCCCGGGGGGGCTGCGGTGCCGGAGCGGCCCCGGGAGCCGCGGGGGCTCCGCCCGGCCCTGGGGAAATTGCGGGGACCGCGGCGGGGAGCGGCTGCGCGGGGCTTCCCCCGGGGCCCGGCGGGGCAGCTCCAGCTGCGAATCCCGGGACGGTCGCTCCCAGGTCGCCGCGAGGGCGGAAACATCCCGCGTTTCCATTCGCGGTGGGTTCGGCTGCCAGGAGGTGAGGGCGAGCCTCGGTGCGTTAAACAGACCTCCGTGGAGTCCCTCCCCTCGCACGGCACTGCCGGGGCGGCTCTGCCGTGCCCTCCTTCTCTCCGCAGCTCTCCGCGGGAGGTTGTGCTGCGGGGGCCGGTCTGTGCCCTGCCTGCGGTGAGGAGACACAGGGAACGGCCTTGAGCTGGGACGGAGGTATCAGAAACAGTTTCCCACTGTTCGGGGTGATCAGGCATTGGAATAGGGAGGCGGTGGAGTCACCGTCCCTGGAGGTGTTTAACAGGCACTGGTGGTTTAGTGGTTTAAGGGATACAGTGCTTGATGGTCTCTAAAAGCCTTGATGCTCTCTAGCTAAACGCACTGTTTTCCTCTCCGATAGAAGCAGTTCGGTGAAGTTCTGCTCAGTGCTTATTACTCAGGGCAGGGTCAGGAGCGAGGTTTGTTGTGGGTGAGGTCGGCAGCGGGTTGGTTGTTTTGAACTCGCTGTTTCCAAGCTCCGAGCCGAGTTGAAAGTTGACACTGGCAGGTAAGAAACATGGTTTGCCATCAGTGTTTGCTGGGCTTCAGAGGGGGCAGTGGGCTGGGAACGGTGATTTATGACCACCGTTCACGTTTGCAGCAACACTCTGAGCTGTGTTACTGTCGGAGCTCTCCTTGGGTGCTGTAGGGTTGAGCCATGCTAACAAAGATGGTTCAAAATACTGAACAAATTTGTTTTGAATTCTGATAGTAATAAACTGACGCAGTAACATGGTAAAAGCTAAGTTCGTAACAGCGCTAGTGTGCACGTGGCCAGGCTTGTGACATTGCGTAGTCAATTAGGGATCAAACCCGGAATTTTCAGGGTATAATGTGTCAAAAAGTGATAAGAACAAGGTGTTGACACAGAGGGAACAGCTGGAATGAAGCGAGGCTCTGCCTCTCCGGTCCTGCAGCAGAGGTTGCAGTCACTGCTGCCTGCTGACCTTAATTTTTGTTTACTCTTTGAAGATCCTTGTATTCCAGCTAGGGATTTTATGTTCAGCTGATGATCAAGATCCTGGTAGTTAAAATACCATTTAGTTTGATGGATTATGTTGTCAAAGAAGATTTGTTTGGACCAGTGAGTAAATGTATTTATAGATCTTGTCTCTGTGGTTACTTTTTTTTTTCTTAAAATTTTAACTGTAGCTGAACAGTGGTCTAACTTTTTTCCCTCCTCTTGGCTCCTGTGCTGCCTTCTCGGTGGAGAATAAGAGAGTGTTGGAAATGGAAGCTAAATTACTATTAAATTTTCTTAAATAATCTCAGATAGCGAAGGAGAAATTTAAATTGCTACTTTTACTGGCAGCACTACTTAGACTGCAGTAGTAATAATAATTTCTCTATCTGTAAACTTCAGGGTTCCCCTTGTTCTCTGTCAGAGTGGCGTTTTTAGCACTTGTGCTTTCAGACTACAGCATGTTCTTATCCGGGTAGCTTCTCTTTCTCTGGTATTTTTTCTTGTCTTTCCTAGATTGATGCAGTTTGCTAATTTATCTTGGCTGGACTTGGGAAGAAAACATACAAGGCTTCACCTCTGTGTAACACTGAAGTTTTAGTTAGAGGGCTAATGTGTTCTGCTACTTTTTTTTTTTTATTAAATAGATACACACATTTCTTTATTACTATATTCTTTCTTTCATCCACTAGAAGTTTTGGAATGGATATGGAGAGAGGGAACAACTTATATTAAATCATCATGGATGATAATATCAAGGATGTAGTAGTTCTTAACAGTGCGTGGACTGTCCTGGGGAAAGAAATACCTGGTTTTTGGTTTGTTTTGCATCTGTACTTAACACACTGGTGCAGTGAGGTCTGCGAGGGATGAGGATAGTTGATTGTGTTGTACCCAAGTCCAGAGGCGTCGCAATTCCGGCCTGGAATCGACTGAAATGTCACACCGGGTTGAGCTCCGAGCGCAGCCACCCGTGTGAGCCTGAGCTGCTCCTGTGCCGCCGGCTGTGAAGGGGGGGCAGCTTGTCCTGCCAGGACACTGCACTTCCAGGCTGGAGCACCTCCTGCTTCTTACCGTGTAAACAGTGATGTTTTGAAGGGAATGCATTGCCTTAATTTTCAGCTTAGTCGTGTGAGGTTTAATGTTCTAGCATTGTGCTCCTTAAGTAGGAAGTGCTCCATTTCTCTAACAGCATTTGTAAAGAACCTCCTCAGCCTCACGTCCTGAAAGCATTTTCTGTCAACAGCTTTTCCTTTGTCTTACTCAAGGAATAAGGATTCAAGGATTAGTGAGAAATTACTTAGCTTTGTCTAAACTTGTTGGATCTTGCATATGATGATTGTTTACTTCAAGATAGATTTAAAATAAAACTGAGGATATTAGTAGGTTTAAGTTATATTTTTTCTTTTCATTGAAATACATTTGAATGGATGTTAGATTTTTCTTACATTTAGACTTAACAAAAGCATTATTCTCCTGTTTATTTAACTGCTAGGGAAGAAATAATTCATGCATATGCATTTCACTCCTCCAGTTACTAGTTGTAGGTTTCATTTATGCTTTCTATTTGTTCTGAGAAAATACCGAAATCCCACTGATATTAGTGAGGACTCAGAACCTAACAAGGATCTTAAAGCTCATATAATAAGTGTGAGGTCATTCCTGTCTACATTGCAGACAGTTTTAATAAAAACTTTGTTTTGATTAGAATTATTTTTCTACCTTTCTACCTTTTCTACCTTTCTACCTTCTATGACAGCCTGTCAGTGCTCTTATAAAGAACTTACTCTTTGCGTTAATGAAACTTTTTTATTCTGTTTGTCTGAAATAAAATTATCGTGACTCCAAAAATACTTCAGGGAAAGCGTGTAGAAACTTTTAACTATTTTCTTTTCTCTAAAGGATCATCTCATTGCATGTGATTATTTGGCTGAAACTTTCTTGGCCTGATCTTTCGGTTGAGGCTTTCACTGTTTTTAATTGTTTAATCAAATGCAGATCATATATTTTTTAAAATAAGATAGGAATATTTTTACTTTGTATAAAGTAGCCTTTTATGGTTAGTTTTAGGAGGGTGCCAGTGTTGCAGATATTTGTGACACAATTCCAAATTTGGACACCTAAATTGTTGTGTTTTGGAAGAATGCTCCTTTGCTTTAAGGAAAGCTCGTGAATAAGTCTCCTTCGATTTAGGGCCTGCTCAGAGATAGATGGATAAGCAGGAGAGTGTCAGCCAGGGGAGTGAGGGTGTCCTGTTCACTGATCAGCTCCCTTTCCCTGTTTTTGTTAGACATTTCTTTCACAGATGAAGATTTTGGATTTCTTCTGTTTTCCATTTTTGTTGGTTCACTGTTTTTAATGTTTTTTTTACCTGTTGCCCTCTCCAGGCTTTCCTTGTGCCAGGCAGTAAAACACACCAGTCGTAGTTCTTGTCAGAGCTGTGTCTTGCAGCCCTTGGGGAGGAGAGGAATGGACAGAGTTCTTTGTAACTTCTTGCCTTAAGGGGTGAGGGAGCCTTGTACGGGTGTCTCCTTTTTGGTTGTGGTGGGGTTTTGTTGTTGTTGGCTTTTTTAAAATGGAACATGAACTTCAAGGTAAAAAAGCAGCAGCTTCCTTTTCCCTGTATGAACTGCATGCTCTTGTGTAATAATAACTGTATCCAAATCTACTCTGTTTTCTGACATAGAAGCAGGATGTTTGTTCTGAGCATGAGTTTAAACTAAGCTTTTTGGAATGTTCATTTGATTAGATTCATCTCCTGGGGATGATGTGGTAGTATTAAAATAATGAGTATAAACGTGGCTATTTAAGTACATTTTACTAATTTTAATTGTATGGTAAGTTTACATTTTTCCATGAAACAATAAATTTCAGGAACCTGTGAAGTTAAACTCTGACAGCTTTTCTAAGCTCAGGTAAGCACAAGTTAAAACTACTGAGGTTTTTAATATGCCTTAGTCTGCACCACACTGTGCTGGTATCAGTGGGGGGAAGAATTTAATGTTGGTGCCTTGTTTAAATGTATTTTCAGATTAATTAATCACAAAACTTATACAGGTTTTCTTGCTCTGTTATTGCACTCATCAGAATTAAAGTAAATTTCATTTTGTTCCTTAGAATTCTTAAACTTCTTAGTAAGTTTTTCTGGTAAAGAGTGTGGGCATTTTTGTCTTAGCTCTTGTACAGCGCTGACACGGTGGATCTTTGCAAGTTCAGTCAAGAGACTGCTCATGGTTTCAGTTCAGTTACATATGGCACATCCCAGATATTCTTGCTAGAACTGACATAGATACCTTGATTTTATTTGGGATTTGACCGAGGTTTTGGGACTTGTATGGCTTCCTGCGTTGCTGAGTTGTGCTAGGTGAAATGTGTTTGATTGTTGCCTGAGCGGTGTTTCATTCTGAGGAGTCATGGTGTGAGATTTGGCTTTGGTCAGGGCATAGGAGACACCAGAAGTCAGGTTCTGTAACCAGTATCTGTTTTTTAAAGACAGTGATTTCTTCAAGCCGATGAGAGCTCTTTGAACTGCTGGTACAAATGTGTCTTAGAGGCCTTGGCAAACAGTGTTATGGTTGATCTTTGTTTACCCTCTTTTAGATGGGTAGATAAAATAGAGAGATAAGGCAAATGATTAAAATTTGTAGATTGCATTTGAAATCTGTAGCTTGTGAGCAAATGAAGTGACTGAACTTCAGATGAAGTTTGTTACTTCTAAACAGAGTATTTGTATATGTGTCTGAATTTACTGGACTATAAATAATAGAAAGATTAGCAAAGGTGTCTTGGCTGTGTAAAAGTCAAATGAAGAAATACTAGAAAACTTTGAAAGTGTGTGTGTTGTTGGAATTCTTTGTCCGGCCCTGGATCCACAACAGCACTAGCATGACTGTAGTGTGCATACTTGAAGGAGTGTAAAATTTCATCAGATCCCACTCACATATTGCTTTCTAATAAAACTATTGGAATATGAAGAATCATATTTTTTAATCATAGATTACAATTCCCAAAGATCTTTGAGTGTGAGCATCATCTGTTAACATCCCAGAGATATCTCTGGGTTGCTCAGTTGCTGTTGAGTAGGTCAGATTCAAGCTCAGGCTGAACTGGGAGTCAGAACAGGGTATTTATTCCTTCCGGGTTGCCAGCAGGATGCAATCCTTTACCTATGTTCATGGAAAGCAGCAGGTACCAGGAACTGGATGGCTGTGGGACTTGCACAGGATGTTGATGACTGGCTGCTTCTGTGAACTGCATGAATCAGGAGTTTGGAACTCCATCTGTCTCTCCAGGTGACTGCACTAGTCACAAAGCTTGAGCTATTCTGGCATCTTTCAGGACTCTCTGTGCTGCCTGTTGCTTCATGGCCAGAAATAGATAACGTTTTCTAACTAAGCTGACTGCAAAGGTCGCATGCCCCTTGCTGTCTGAATTCCCTCTTGGCTGCTCTAAGAATTTCTTGTTTGGATACTTTTTTCCCTTCCGTATTTAGTTAGGGGTGCTGCTTTGTCATCCCTTCTGGTTGTGCAGCTGATTACTTGCTTTGCTTTTCTTTGTAATCTGATCTTATAAAAGTTTATGGCTCTCTACATATCTGTGTTCTGTAATGCTTCTCATGCCTTTTATGTAGCTGAGGACTGTGCTGTGAAGAGAGTTTATGAACTGGGTTTCAGGATAACTGGTGGAGCTCTGGGCTGTGCTGTACGAGGAGGGTCCAGCCTGGTCTGTGCTCCTGTCGGTTGCCTTGAGTCAGTGTGAGTGTTCAGGGCCACTGCTCCCTAAGCCAGAACAAAGCCGACTTCTCCTGTGGTGACTGAGAACTCTATAAACTATGGAAACTTTTGGTTCACATAAACACTTGCCTGTTTGATTTTCATGGAGTTAGAGTAGCTGATAGTGCACTGCAAACTCAGGGCAGTTACCAGCACAAGTAACTACGAACTGCAAACACAAAGGCCGTGAAACTTCTTTCAGCTGGAGATTTTTTGCTTATCTTTCTTCTGAGACTTTGAAGATTTTGTGTGGATGGAGGCAGGAAATTAGCTAATGTGGGCTGGCTTCCTTGTGGCTTCAGAAAAAGCTCCCGAGTGCCTAATTAACAAGCCTTGCTCGTATATTTGGAGACAAATTGTTTGACAGATTTGGTGTTGGAAGAAGATTTTTGTCATGTCAATTTGGTTAGGATAATTGGGTGGTTTTTTGCATCTTTGAAACATCTAGGCATTTTCACCATGCTAGCCTTAAAAATACTGATTTTTTTTTTTTAATTGGCCATCTTCTGTTGTCAAAGTTGATGGTCATCTATATTCTGTTTTATTATAAGGCTCTTAGTGGCTGTTTCCTTGAGTAAATATTTTAAATAATTTTGTCCTGTAAAGATTGCAGACAGAGGTCTCTTCTAGTTTGCAAGTATTGTTGAGATCTTAGGGGGAGAGGGGGGCTTTTGGGTGTGGGTCATTTCAGTTTGTTGTTTTTTTTTTCTCCAGTCTTATTTGCTGTTGAGCAAAAATCCAAGTTTTTTTCAGAGAGCTAAATATTAGCTGACACTTTTTTTTAAAATTAAGATGAACAAAAAAGCTGCAGATTATTTTCTTGGTGTAAATATTGCTAAAACCTTTTTACATACAAGAAAAAAGTTCCTATGATAACTAAAATTTCAGCAGTACAATTTCTGGTTTATGGTAATTGGCAGATAGAAATAACAATAAATCGGAGATGAACTCTTTACTGTCATAGGACTGTTTGATTAGGAGAAGGAGAATATTAACAATTTGTTTTCTTTAGAGAGCTGCTGTTTGTCTTAATTCCAGACTCTATATTAGTGGCAAGTAAAAACTGAAAAGTAACATGCTCACTAAAGACAGAATATGCAAGCCCCAAAACATTTCTTTGGAACACATAATTCCTCTATTCTTGAAGGGTTTTGCTTTTTAGGGCCAGAGTCATCTGTTAAGAGGTGGTCATGTTGCCTCAGCATTGGTTTTTGGTTCCAACTTCAGGCTTCTGTTATTTAGGATATATTGATGTCTGTATTGAGTCTGAACAACACTGCAGCATTGTTTTTAAACAAACAGCAAAGTATTTAAATATATGATGAATTCAGTATGACTTCCAGTGTGCACAGAGTTCTCTAGGAAAAGATGTGATTTATTTTTTTACGTGTGGGTTGCTTTTCCTACATGCTTATTCTAGCTAGAAGCTTGAGTTTTAAATTTTCCCTCTAAGATAGATGTCTGAATTGAGAGGATATCTAATGCAAATGTTATATTTAAGAAAAGGAGAATATGGAAAAAACACGTAGTGGTATGGTTTGTGCTCCTGTCTTGTGGCTTCCTGCTGTTTGCTGGTATCCTTGTTAGGAGGGACTCTGACCTCTAGCCTTAAACTTGACTCAGATATACTCTGATTTTTTTTTTGTAACTATATGTTCCATATGTGCTATTGCTCATAAAGATTGGCTGTGGGATTTGATAGCAGACTTAACCCACGCTGACCTTGCTCTTCCCCTCTTTGTTCATGAGCTCTTCTAGTCCTTGTGTGGGAAACAGCAAAACTAGTGAGACCAGTTGATAGCAAATATTCTGGGATATTTTTGGTAATCTGTATGTTTACATATTGAACCCTGACATTAATATATTATTATTGGCATCCTTAATGTTCATTTTAATTCATGTCTCCCAACTTCCTTTGACACTGGTCACAATATGAACTATACCCTTGCTATTTTTTTGGTGTGGGGATTTCTTCAAAGGGCAAAGTCAATTAGAGGTCTGTTTACCTGCTGCACTTTAATTTTGTGTTTGTGGGACTGTATGGTTAAGTAGATTGCTAAAACCACCCAAGTTTTAAACACAGATAGCTCCTCCAATGCATTTACTTCTGTGAGTAGTTTGGAGTGGGGAGGCAGCATGGCAGGGTATCTCTTAAACTGGTTTTGCCATTTGAGGAAATGTGTGTGTAACCACATCCCTAATTAAAGTTAATTAAGCTTTAACCTACAGAAACAACATATTTTGAAGCTATACCAATTTATTTTAAAAGGAAGCCTCTCATTACTGTTTATATCCTGGGATGTTGAAAGATATATGTAAAACGAGTACAATAAATTAATTTCAGAATATTTCACTGGGCTACATCATGCTTGGTACTCTCAGCATTTGTGTGAAAGAACAGGAAAATGAGACTGTGTGGGCTAAAATGAAAAACACTGAATGACTTGAGGGGGGAAAAGTTATTTCAATGAATTTTTGTTCTTGATGCATGAGATAAGAAAATGTGACTAATACATTGCTGTATTGTTATGTTCTGAGTGTGTTTGTGTGACTTCGCCTGCAACAAGTTGATAACTTGTGGAAAATGTTGGTGTTTCCTTGTTCATAAAACTTGGAATGAACCAGCAGCAGTGGTAGGATGGAAAGGTGCTTGGAATTTTTGCCAGAATGGAGACTTGTTACAGTGTTGGAGAGAAGAAGCCTTCGCAGGAAGACATAAGACATTATTGCAACTTTTAGAAAGATTCTTTCATCTTAGTCCTCATTTAGTTGGACTAATGATTGATATAACTGTTTCTTATAATTATTCTCTAATATTGACAAGAAACTGTCAGTATTTAAATTATTTTTTTTTTAACTTGTAGGTTTCTTAGGACTCTTGTGAAAACTTTATTCTTTTATACTAAGAAGCAGAAGGTGACTCTGTACTTGAGTTGGTTGGTTAACCTTGCAGTTGGAACAACCTTGCCTGGCAATGTACTTCTGTTGGTAAACATAAAGGAAGTAAAGAGTGTTGAGTAGCTTTGGCAACGTGCAAATTTTTTGTCAAGGTCTGAGTACAAGAAAGGCTTACTGGAATCAATAGGTAGAGTTTTAGGTTTCCAAGACCTGCACATTCGTTGCTTTTCTGAAGAGAGCATCTCAGTGAAAATAATGTTCTGAAGAGCAGATGTGGAAGAAAGGACCCTTTGTTTCTGCTCATATATGCTTAAGACATGACTTAGGTGTCATAGATGACATTAGGTGAGCATAATATATGCTTTCTTTTGCATTCAGAGTTAGTAATATATAATCAAAACCGTGACCCACATACTCTTTTTAATATATTGATTAAATCAGGCTTTTCAATCTGTTTAGTTCCAGGAACTGCTGGTTACCCATGTGTCTGTGTACTGTGCTTCAATGGGATTAAAGAACATAAAAATCAGAATTAAAGTAATTGTTTGACTTGTCGACCTAAAATAAAGCGTTTTTATTTTTTGGGGTTTGGAACATTTGAATTTTGTCCTTCTCAGATCAGGTTTGGTACTAGAAGATACCTGACTCCTACCTAACTTTTATGAAGTAACAGTACTGGACAAGCTTCGCTTACAAGTTGTTGTTGTTACAGGACTTGAAAGACTGAGCTGTTGTTAACAAGACACCTACTGAAACATGGTGGATTACTATGAAGTTCTGGGAGTGCAAAAGCATGCCTCAGCAGAGGATATTAAAAAAGCGTAAGTGTCACTGGTGTGTGTTATGTATTTGAAGGAACAAATATAATGACGTGGTTTCTGGATCTGCACTTTGTTGCCTTCCCTTGTTCTTTTGCTAATTCCTGCACATGCTCCTTTGTCAACTCAAATGTTTGAACTGTGATCTTGTGTGACTGTGTGAAACACTCCACATCAGCCTAAGGGCAAGCTTAGCTTTGCCCCTCTAAGTAGTTATGAACACTTGGCCTAAAATGTTTCATTTGAGGATAGGAATTGTGTGCAGGTGTAGCAGTCAAAGAAGGCATTAATGGTAAGATGCTGCCGCAGTCTGGTATTGGTGTGTTCTCGAAGCTTTATCAACTTTGACTGTACCAGGTGCTTCACATGTACCAGATCCTTCTCGATGCTCCCCATGGTTGCCTGTAGTACTGAATAATTATAGAGCTTCAAGGAGAAGCCCACAGCAGACGTGTTTTGGAATGTTACGCTTTGATCATCAGAAATGCACGGGAATAATTTCAAAATAACTGAAGCACGTTGGACCACTTTTTTCTTAAAAGCATATCTGAGAAGGTGGTTCTTTGTGTGCCTGTAGAATCTGTTAATACCAGTGTGGTTGCAAGATACAAAGCACTGGGGAACTTCTAAATACTTTTAATTCCTGACAACTTGTTTGAAACATTTTGTGTTTATCTGTATAGCATATTCCATCATTTCAGAGTACAATATCCTTTGTTTTCCTTCCACTTAGGTACCGTAAGTTGGCACTAAAATGGCACCCTGATAAAAATCCAGACAATAAAGATGAGGCAGAACGGCAATTTAAACAAGTAGCTGAGGCCTATGAAGTTTTGTCAGATGGTAGGTATTTTAAAAGGGTTCTTGAACTGCCTTTCTCTATTCTGGGTATCAGACTGAAAATGTTGATGTATGATGCTATGAAGAGATATTGTTACTTTGGTTTATTATCCAACTTGACTACTTCCTTTTCAAAAGAGAGAGAGAGAAGGAAGCTGGCAGATAAGACAGAATAAGCAGAAATTTTGAAACAAAAATATCAGGATCTCTCTAGATGAGTAACCAAATTAGTTTTATTGTAAAAATTGAAATTCTGTGTCTGGCAGGCCCTCTTCAGAAATTTCTGAAGAGAAGTCTGCAAATACTAAGATTAATTTTATCTTAGCAGGGAAAGCCAATGTTACCATCGGTGTAGGGGTATTATTGTGTGTATCCAGTAAGTCAGGCTAGACCAACCCTGAAGTATCTACTGTTGGGCCCACTGCTTCTAATTCTTGTAGCAGTAAACTAGTCTTGACAAAGCTCAAGCATACTGTAAATCTTGCTGAAAATTCAGATTGCATTTGGGTGAGTTCTGTAAATTCAGTCAACTGTGATACAGATAGTGATAAAGATGGTGTTTATTTTGAATTGTTCTGAAAGAGGTGCTTAGCCTGACCCATGTAGTGCAGGAATGCAGTTTAGAGTTCACCCATGTGTTTGCTCGAAGAGTATCATTAACTTCTGCCAGTGTTCTGGCAGAAGCAGTCTGAATCATAACAAAGTGATTTAAGCTACTTTGATTATTTTCCTCTGTAATTGACTGCAGCTGTCTATATGCTATTTCTGAAGTGTCCTTGATTTCACCTGAGACAGTGAGCATGAGAAAGCTATATTTAAAGCACTAGTGGCATCTAGATTACCTCTCAGGGTTCAGCCTGATTTATAGAGCTGCAGTCTAGTACACACTATTTCTTTGCTTGGTTTTGATACTTAATTGACATGGGAGAAACAGAACTTAATTTATCATTAGTTCATTGTCTTCTAGAGTACTTTAACCTTCTTGAACTAATTTTTTGAGCAAGATAAAAATAGGATACTGGTCTGGTTGTTATACAGATCTTTAAGTTCTTTGGAAACAGTACACTGCTAGAATTTTAGAACATCTAAAAGTGCTGCCAGTTTTTGGATTGAGACCAAATCCTAACTTACTGCTGTCTTAACAATCATCTGTGCAGCAGGGATACCAGAATCCTGAGCCCAGTGGTCAAGAGGCAGTCAGCTCCTCTGCAGACCTAATGAAATTTTCTGACATCATTACAGGCTTGAATGAAGAGAGATTTTTGGCAGAAGAACAGTTTTGTAAGAGGTTACTTAAGCGAAGAATACTGACATTGGGTGATCATTGAACACACTTCCCTTGTGGTTTAAAAATGTAACATTTTGAGATGAACTTTGGGCTTTGTGAGCCCTCAGAGTGCTGTTTCTTGCTCCTGACAGTTTATCTACCTTACTGCTTTGGTCTTTTAACATTGATGAGTAGGTTAACCTGCTTTCTTTAAAAATTGCTTTCTAGAGAGGCAGTATGGGTAATTAAACAAACTTTGGGGATTTGTGTGTGTGTGAACCTATTGCAAGTTTCTATTAGTTGGAGATGATGACCATAATATAAAATTTTAATTCCTGTTAGTCAGAAGTGGTTTAGTTTCCAGCATCTGTTTGAGGTAACTGCATGTTCTTTCAGTGATGCTATTTAAATTTTAAAACATCTTTCACTGAAGAGATTCCAGTGGGAAAAGCATGATAAAATTGAGAATCTAAAATCAGATGCCCAGACTGGTTTTTGGCTGATACTGCCACACCAGTGCAAGCAAAGTAAGCCAACTATCTGCCTCTTTAAGCTCTTCAGGTTCCCTTCCAGTACCAACAGTGCCATCTGATCCTATGCAGTAATGTAGAGCTCGTTTTTCTCCCCTTTCTCGTGGATACTGTAAGGCTGGTCTGGAGTGAGATTTATAGTCATGTTTTGCCTTCTAAAATAACGGAGAGCAAGCAGTTTGAATCACATCCTTCCATGGCATTTTGTAACATCACTTCATTCTCCATTATTAAGCTGAAAGAAGTTAATTTTAGGGGTTTTGCAGTCAGTCATATAAACACTGTTCTTCCGTTCTCATAACTCTCTTACTGTGGGCGTGTTCTTGTGCAATAAAAGGAAAAAAAGCAGTGGTCAAGGTTTGTGAGGTGGATAGAAGGAAGAGAATGCTTACAGTGTGAATGCCTGAGCTCTGGAACTGCTTTTCAGAGAAACTGTAGAATCTTTTCTTGCAGATTGGTGAGATCAGGGCTTTATTCAGGCAAGATCTGACCAGCTTTGTGATTAGACTTGTGTGGAGTAGCAGATTGAATTCCAGAGGTCCTTTACAGCCGTAAAACTTTGTACCTGTGTAAAGAAGAAGACTGCAGTATTTGTTTTAAAGTATTCTTTTAAAGGGCAAACTTCCTTGTGAAGTTTGTCCTTATACCAAACTTCTTCTGATACGATAGGACTGAAGCTTCTAGAACTAAATGGTAGTAAGTCTGAAGTTTAGTGCCTGTTCTTTCTGAACCTAAATTGCTTTGGCAACCCTCATTAAAAACATTCAGCAGTTATATGCTAGAACTTTGTTAAATAAATAAGCTTTGAGAAGGTGTTTAACTGAGAATACCAGCTAAGTCCTTTCCCCCTCTCCCCCCAAAATCAACGTACCTGTTTACTGACATGATGTGCAACTTCTCCTTGTAGCTAAAAAACGTGACATCTATGACAGATATGGAAAAGAAGGCCTAATAAATGGAGGCGGAGGTATGTTGACAACCAGCAGTTCTTTGCTTTCTCTATTCTGGTGGAATCTTCCAATCCTCTAAAAATTGAGATTACAACTGTTTTACATTTTTTTCTAGTTGTGTTGTCAAAGGTATTACTGTTATCTTCTAAAAACAGACAGAGAGAACCAGTTGTAAAAAATATTGTGTGTACTTAACCTGAATGATACCTGAAAGGGAAACTTTAGAAGTTGTTTATATTTTTAAATGATTCAAATACCATATAGGACTGAACTTTCTTGTTAGTGAGAATGTGTGAAAGTAATTGAAACTTAACGGTTTTTTTGCAGGTGGAAATCATCACGATAATGCTTTTGATTTTGGATTTACATTCCGTAACCCAGATGATGTCTTCAGGGAGTTTTTTGGTGGAAGGGACCCCTTTTCATTTGACTTCTTTGGTAAGTAATCCCCTCGTTTTAGTTACGTGCATCTAAAGTGTGGCTAAAACTTTACACTTACAAAACAAATACAGCTAATACAGTTTTATTAAAAATAGTTCTGAAAATGAGGTAAACAATTGGTATTTTGTATTATATTTGAAGTATTTGTTTCATACATGTTTCTTGGTTGATTTTATAGTACAGAACAGATGTGGCTTGCCAATACATGTTTTGTTGGAAAGCCTTGTTTACAAAACCATGAAGTCATGGCTACTGTGTCTCTGTAGATTGGAAGGAACTAATATATGCTGGAATTTCCTCTCAAGAATTCAAGCAGGCAAACTTAGTCTGTTGAATTTCGTCTCTTTTGATCTCTAAATAAATAAAAAAATAAAGCTTTGAGAACTTCTGAACTGGGCAGGTTACCTACAAGTGTTAGAGCATAGCTCTCAGTGTGGGCTTGTGTCAGAGCAGGAGTGATTTTCTTGTGTTGGAATAAGAACAGCTACATACATAATCTAGACATTCTCCCAAATTCATGTCACTTGTTTGCTTGGTATAGAACCCCTGAAGAGTCAAATTAAATAGTTCTTGAGGCCTTGATGCTTCATTTAGGAAGCGCTCATTAAAGGAAGCAATATGTGATAAAGTTGTCAAAGTAATCTTTTTACCCTGATGCTGAGGGTCCTTTGACTTGTGATGTTGCTTGCTCTAGTGAAGGTCTTTTCAGAGGTGCTGGAGTTCTTACACAATCTCTGTATATATTCTACTCATCAAAGTGCTGATCTATAAAGCAGAACAGATCCTGTGTTCAGTATTTACTGCGAGAAGGTTCCAGACTGAAAACTGCAAGAAGGGTACTTGAAAAACAAAGCTTTCTTCCTGTTATTCCTGATATTGATCAATTTCTATAATAATGTATGTAAATGTTTCAATATTTTTAAAAGTATTTTTTTATCTTTGGCAGCATTAAGGGTCTAGTCCAGCTCAGATTTTAATTATATCTTTTTCTGGTTTGCTATTTAGGAATCATCAGCTGTTGGATGACTCTAATGAAGGATTAGAAAAGGGGTTGAATACAGTAGAATGCTAGTTGAGGAATTAGATGAGTAGCTAGAGGAAGAATCTGGTAGAGGATAAGCAGCAGAATTTGGGCAATTGGATCCAGTGGGAAATCAGCAGAAGTAGGAAAGGGCAGATTGGAGGAAGCATCTAGGAAAATACTGATGAGTGAAATGGGCTCTGAACTGGGAAGATGCAATTTCTTCACTGTCTGCAGTACAGTAAAAATTTTAAGAAGTGCTAAATAATGGTTTCAGTTGAGATGAGTGATCTCAGCACTGGTTAGGCCACATCTGGAGTACTGGGTCCAGTTCTGGTCTCCCAAGTAAAAGCAAGAGAGTTACTGGATAGAGTCCTGTGAAGGGCCACTAAGATCATTATAGGATTGGAGCTTCTCTCACCTGAGGAGAAGTTTGAGAGAATTGCTGGAGTTGTTCAGTACAGAGAAGGCTCAGGGTGAGAGTCTCATCAGTGCATTGGGAATGGAGGGTGTGAAGAAGGTGGAGGTTGCCTGTTGTCAGTGGTGTCCGCTGGCAAGATAAGAGGCAATGACCACAAATGGAAGCACAGAGGTTCTGCCTGAACTTAAGGTAGTATGATTGCACTGTGAGGGTGACTGAGCATTGGAGCAGGTTGTCTGGAGAGGTGGTGGAATCTCCATGATTGGAGATACTCAGAAGGCATCTGGATGTGGTCCTGGGCAACCCAGTCTAGATGTCCCTGTTTGAGCAGGGGATTGGACCAGATGAACTCCATAGGTCCCTGTCATCCTCAGCCATTTTGTGATTGAGTGGTAGAAAACCTAGAAAAATCTGAGCAAGATGTTGAGTAGGAAGCTAGAGAGGAGGAGCTGGGAGAGCGTGTTTAGCACTTTTGTTTACTTTTTCATTTAAGATCTATTAAATAAAATAGTTGGTTCTCAGTCAAATATCTTTATAGTAAATTGTATAGGTCAGGCATATTCTACCTACCAGTGGGAGACTGACATGGACCCTCCTTGGTTTTGATTGTATTTACTTCATCAGCCCTAGCAGGAGATTTAACTTGCTGTCTCTGAAAAAGTCAGTGTTCATGATTAACCTTAAATCCATGAAGTTAAATTCTGCTTTAAAATTCAGGCTTAAAAAGCCTGAGGACTTACCTTTTGGGTTCCTTGGAAGGAAGACTGTACAGCATAGTGCATAGAGTTATCCCACTTATCAAGTGGAGGTACCACGGCTAACGAAGTTTTCCTGGGATGTTGCAGCTGCTATAGCCTCTCCTGTGTGATACATCTTACCTTGTTACATCAGTGGACTTAACAACATACCCCCCTTGCTTAATACTCAAATTTATTTATTTATTCAGAAGCTGGTTATCTGCTTCATGTATTGACCTCTGTCATCGTCAGCTTTAAGATATGAGTAGTGAGGCACAAGCTCTGCTTCTTGCCCAGTAAGGTTCTGGCACTGTCAGCAGTGTTATGTGCACTCCAGTTAAAGAAAACTAATAGTTTCTAAGCTGTCTCTCTACTTCATGTGGATAGTTGCAGTGTCAGTGACCAGAGTCCTAAAAGCCTGTGTTGAGCTTTGGATTTTGAGCTTAAGCTCTTGAAATTTTTCTAGTCAGAAGGCTTCAAAATGAGCACTTTTTCACTTTTTCCTTTTCCCTTTTTTTTTTTTTTTTTTTTGCTTTAAGATGCTGAAGGCATTCTCTAACATGGGAAATTTTAACTCCAAACATTTTTTTCACAGATTTTTATAAAAAATTGTTGGCAATTGTCTTTACACATACACAAATATTTAAGGTAGTACCACATGAAAATATCGGTGCTTTCAGCTCAATGTAGTGCATTTTATAATGCCTAAAACAAGCAGTAGAATTGTGTGTATGGCATGAGTATTTGTATTGGTGAACTAGAGCCCTTGTAGATTCTGCTGTGTTGAAACACTGGTGGAACAGTTCTGTCCTGAAGAATAAGTGAATTTGTCTTCTAAAAATGAGGAGTTTTCAACTTGTTGATGAGTTTTCTGTGGAAGTAGTGACTTCTTAAGCAGCTACTCAGGTTATAATTGATATTCTAAGCAACTGGATAAGGACTGGGGTCATGTTTTCTAAAAATGTACACTGGTTGAATCAAAGATGAAATTGAATAAATACTTTGAAACATTTGTACTTTTTATGCAGTTTGAAGTGGCACATAGTGAAGCCCACAGAATGCAGGTGGGACTCTCTATCCTGATTGCCATTGAGTATGTAAAGAGCAGCATTCATATGCATAATTCCTGTAAATTTATGGATGTGAAGGTTTTCTAAAATTGTGCTATGAATTGAGTCTGTTAAACTCCACTGAGCTGTATTGCACTGATATTGCAGTTACAGTAAGTTTTCTTTATAAACAAAGGCATCTTTATTCATCTGTAGAGAAGAAGAGAATGTATGAAGACTTCTGTGGTGATTTTTAAGTGATGAGTCCCTTCAGACTTTTCAAATGAAAATTTATAATACTGTTAAAGACAGCTCTGAACACTTCCAAATGGAGCAAAGTTAATGTTATGTGCTGTGTGTTGCACTGGAGACAGTCACAGTTTCTCTTCACTCTTTTTTTAGGCAAATTCTTTGTAAAAATAGGGGTACTTTTTAAAACTTGCTCTGATACTATGACTGCTGGTTAACTCCTAACCTTTGAGACATGTGGGCTCGCTTTTTGTGACCCCTGGTTACAGCAGATTCTGTATTCCTGGTGAGCTCTTCTGGTGATAGTTTTTAAGTCTCTTTAACATAGGGATGGATGCTAATCCTTATGATGGGAAGAAAAGTTGATGCTTCCTGTGCAGTACTACTTTTGTATTGCAAAGTACTGCCTTGGTATACCAGTGTCTGGCATTCAGCTGTCTGTGCCATACACCTGCTGTTCTCTGACTGGCCTTTGACATTAGAACTGACTGTTTACTCTTAATGTAGGGATTGATTTCTCATTTCAGTAAGCTTGCTTTATACTGAAACTATATCCTACTTCGTTTGTATTTGGTACTTGCCTTGCTTTGGTTTATTTATGTTCTGTTTAGCATTTTGTTTGTGTTTTACTTGTAAACTTTTCAAGGATGTTCTGCTGTACTTTACCAGTTCATATAGGAGGGGAGGATCCCAATGTCACCACTGGTAATGGAGGTGTATTGAATAAAGACCTGCTGTGTCAGGGATTGTGAGGAATAGAAATAGATGTGATTTGGTGTAGGCAAAAATGCTTGACTGTTTCGGGGCTGTTAAAGATTTGACTTGGTTTTGGTTTAGAGGCTTTTCAGGTTCTCACTTCAAGGATGGGTTCTATGTTGGAAGATATCAGTGAGGAATTATGTTGAAAGATGAAGATGTTGTAACAAGATCATAACATTCCCCAACAGGCCATTTAGTACTTCAGACAACTCCTTAAGGAGTCAATTAACCTCTTCTAGACTTTTAAGCTTCACATACACTCTAAACCATCTCAGCTGTCACCAGGTATGTCTGTGATGCCCGAGTAGTTTCTGTATGGGCTAGAAATTACAACTCAGGACCTACAGCAGACCAGTATCCTCCAGCAGCTGTTTCTAGAAGCTCGACAGGATGTTTCAGGGCGTTTCAAACTGCTTTAGGTGCCTGTATGTCTTCTGAAATGAATCCCACAAGGAACCATGCTTTTCTCCCTGGTAGAGTGTGTTACTGATGTGATGTGATAAATTGGTCCCAATGGATGCCCTCTCTAGACTTTGATGTCCAAGAGAAGTCTGTTTGTGGAGTCTCTTTTCAACACAGATTGTAGTCTTGACAGTTTTGCTATAGTTCCTAAACATTTTATTATTCTCAATGTGCATTTGGAGATAGTAATTTATAAATGTCTTAAATGTTTTTCTTAGACTGTAAAGTAGGATTCATGATGTATTTTAATACAAATTTAATACCAGATAATGCATATAAACCTTATACATTCTGTGGAA